TTTAGCGTTTAGGGTTTAGGGATCTCTATCAAGGCTTTGGGGCCTTGACGGATTGGAGTTGTAAGGTTTACCTAGTCAAGGGCGTAACGCTTAAATTCGTAGTGTTAGTCCTTTGGGCTTCCCTTCACGTTGAGAGCAAGACCGCCCGTTCAGTTCTTTGGGCCCTTCCGTTTCGCACTGAGGCCGAGCGGAAGAACCCGGATAGCGCCAGCAGAGACTGCACACATCGAGGGCTAAGGAGGCCGGTTTCCGGGGTTTGGGGTTCAGAATGCAGAGCTCTCGACATGCAAACTTCGTCGGACATCCTGCCGCACCCCTCCTATGCACAACCTAACTCAGGGGCCGAGTGTCCTAGCCCAAAAAAGGTTAGCCTTTCAAATAGGGTAGGATTATATCAGCCCAAAAAAGGTTGAAGGTTACCTACTCAGCTACCAAGCTAACCTCTCAAAGGAGGGCAAATTGACGACGATCAGCTGCGGTTATACAGAGCTCCTCAGCAGCGGGATATCTACTCACCACAGCTCCGATGTCGAACGTTCATGCTCTCATGTCCCCGTTCCCTTATACTCACGAGCGGAAAACGCGCACCTCGCCGTGTAGCGGACGTCGTAGTGCGGAAGAATCCTGTAGGACCCGAGGGATTGTGGGTTTAGGGTTTAGGGTTCAGGGTTTAGGGTTTCGGGTTCTTGCCTTAACGCCTAGAATAGGGTTTTGGGGGTAGAACACACAAATCCTTAGAGACAGAACCCCGCCACAGAAATGTACGGGTACTTATTTACGCCCCCTATCTTTTCCGGACAGAAAGAAGGTCGTCTCACCTTAAGGGCGGCCAGCTTTGTCAACCCCAAACCCTGAGCCCTAAACGGTAAACGGTAAACTCTTAGCCCTGAGCCCTAGGCCGTAAACCCTAAACTTTAAACCCTAAACTGCCTCCCATCTACCATAAACTTTAGGCAGGCGAGTCTGATTTCGGCAAGTTCAAGTTGACAAAAGAAGGACGTATGGGAAAAGACGGCTGCTGGCCTCATTCCCTAAACCCTAAACCCCTAAACCCCTAAACCCTAAACCCTTAAACCCGTAAACATTTAAGCCCTAAACCCTGCTTGAACTAAGTTCCTTGACTGAGCACCCAGTTCTTCAGAATTGGAGCCAGGCACAAGCACGAGTCCCCTATAGCTCTGATATCGAGGCTTCGGGGTGAGGGCGTTTAGGGCTTAGGGTTTAGCGTTTAGGATGTAGAGTTTAGGGTTTGAGGGTTTAGGATTTTAGAGTGTGTGGTCAGGGTTCGGGCTTTAGAGCCTTGAGGCTTTTCAGGCTTCCGGGTTTTGGGGTTTAGGATCTATAGGGGGTCAGGGTTTAGGGTTTAGGATCTATAGGGGGTCAGGGCTTAGGATTTAGGGTGAGGGTTTAGGGGTCCGGGTTTAAGGTTTAGGCGGTTTAGGGTTTACGGTTTAGGGGTTTCAGGGTGTAGGCCCTGTTTTTGCTTTGTCGGCGAATTTTCCACCTCCTTGACCGTCACGGAGTCGAAGGAGACACCCTTGGCGGCAGCATACTTGCGGCGAGCCTTTACCTGGAAGGCTTCCGTTTCGTAGGTGGGGCTGGAGTCGCACTGGGCCGCGATCTCGGCCCACTCCTCCTCCTGTGTGCTGGAGGAGAGCTTCTCAATCAAGAGAAAGTTTTCCGCCTGTGTCCACTGGTTCCACTCCACACGTCCCAGGCGAAAGCTGTAGGGCTTCCTCACAAGTCTCACTTCCAACACCCGAAACTCTAGACTCCCAATCCCACCTCCTAAACCCTGAGCCCTCGACTCTAAACCCTAAAGCCTTCAACCCTAAACCTTGAATCCCAAAACCCAAACTCTAAATCTCGAGCCTCGCGTCCGAAGGTGGCGTGCCTTGGCAATAAAACAGATGCATATATATATATACATACACATATATGTGTGTAGATATATATATATATACATGTGTATATATATATACATGTATATGTAGGTGTATGTCTATACACACCTACATACATGCATGCATGCATGCATGCATGCATGCATGCATACATACATACATACATACATACATACATAGCTCGCAATATACAAAAATGTTTATTATAATATACTTCAGAAGAACAGAACAGAATAGAATAGACTAGAATAGCAGGAAGTAGAATAGAATCGAGCCGAATGGAATGGAATGTGATATGATATGATATGATATGATATGATATGATATGATATGATATGGTATATTAAAATGCAAGTCAATAGTGATAATTATAATAACAGCTAAACTAGGAAGAATAATACTCAGCAAAGCAATATTGACATAGTACAACATAACAGAATGTAACATAACATGATGTGTACTGCAGTACAGATCTCGTTCCTGCACTTTGTAGTCGTCTCAAGTCCAATATGAAGAGAGCAGGACATGCCCAGCAAGCCTTTACTAAGGTGGGCAGGCGAAGCTCAGCCAAAACCCTTCAGCCCTAAGCACAAAACCCTCAACCCTAGCCCCAACCCTAATCCCCAGATCCCCAAACACCAAACCAAAACCCCTGAACCCTAAACCCTAAACCCCTAAACCCCTAAACCCTAAACCCCTAAACCCCTAAACCCCAAACACCAAACCAACACCCCAACCCTACAGCCTCAACCTTCAGCCGGAGAGAAACCCTTAACAAAGGAAATATACCTTAAATCATAATATTCAGGCCCCTATAATTTAAGGGTAAATTCCTTATTTAAGGGGTATTGGGCTCTCTGGGTTAGAAAGCTGGACCCGGCTGAGCCCTGAGCGCCAAAATTCGGAACCCTCCGCATCGACCAGGATCAATATCATGTTCTCGGGGCGCAGCCTCCACATCAGACTGGCAGGTTCGCGGTTTAGGTTTGGGTTTTGGGTTTAGGGTTTAGGGTTCAGGGTTTAGGGTTTAGGGTTTAGGCTTGGTTTAGGTCTTGGGGGTTCAAGGAGGAGGGGGGCAGGATGGATTTAGAGTTGATGGTTCTGAGGTGGTTCCCCAGACCCCCAGAAGCTCTCGGAAACCATTCCAGGACGCAAGCGCGAGAGTACTTTCGCGTGCCGTTGTAGGGCTGGTCTCAAGATAAGGGTTCGGTGCGGATTGCTGTAGGTCTTAAAGCTCAGGGTTCAGAACCCTGAACGAACCGAAAACCGTAAACCCTCGAACCCTAAACGCCGAAATCCTAAACCCTAAAACCCCTTCGGCCTCTCGAGGATGTAATCCACTTTCTCCTTGGTCCAGGGAAGTGCGACGAGGATGGCTTTCATCACTACTGGGTCTGTTGACAATCACATGCCAAATATTCCCCCAAACCCCGTAGGCCCCTAGACCGCGAAACCCCATAAGCCCCTGAACCCCTGAACCCCTAAACCCTAAACCCTAAACCATCAACCCTAAATATACCCTAAATCCCTAAACACGTGATTTGCCAGAGTCGCCACATCGGGCTCCAGAATCAATCGGCCGGAGACCAGGAGGTCGGACCTAGTGTCGGAGGGTGTAGTAAAGGGGCGGTTTAGGGTTTAGGGTTTAGGATTTGAGTTAGGGTTTAGGGCCGTAATAATTAGACCACGGTTGACAGGTGTATTATACTCTCATTCTTATAACTTAGGGGCTGAGTACCCTAGCCCAAAAAAGGTTAACCTTTCAAATTATGGTAGGATTCTATAAGCCCCAAAAAAGTTAAAGGTTACCTACTCAGCTACCAAGATACTAGGGAAAACTGAATACACCCCTAAAGGGTCTGAAAAAAAGCAGCTGCATAAACCCCTAGATAAAATTACCCTACATACCCCCGCTGTGGAACCCGACCCTTAAACCCTAAACTCCCTAAACTCCCTAAGCCCTAAACCCTACACCCTAAACCCTAAACAAAACCCTGAACAGACCCTTTCAGAAGCCTCAAAGACCCCTCCTCAAGGCATATACCGACGGAAGAGTGGGGGTGTAGGATATAAGGATTCGGGTTCAGGGTTTTTGACTGCAGGTCTAAGGCTTCGGTAAGAGTTTATGCCTCAAGGTGGAGAATTTAGAGTTTACGGTTTAGGGGTATAGGTTGTTTTTGGTGGGGTTAGAGGTTAGGGCTTTTTCGGGGTTTAGGGTTTAGGGTTCGGGGTTTCGGCTGTGAGGGGAT